CCATAACCTATTATTTTTATTACCATCAATTAAATTCACCCTCCCAAAAATTAATCAGCAACAATTCCATTATTGGAAAAACCTTTTTCACTTCCTTCAATTTCTTGCTTTACTTCACATTATTTCATTTCTTCTCTTTGTTCTATATCTTGCATCATATTCATTTCTTGCATCGTTTCAAGATTGTTTGTTTGATGAATCAGATTCGCATTAAATGAATTTATAATCATCATATTAATGTATTTTAAATACAGTAAATATTTATTGTATACTTTAATAATTTACCTCAATCTTTTGCTTAATATTGTCTGTGACTAGTTTAATTTAAATTTCCTCGATGTTGTTTTGATACTCTTTGAATTATACCATCGATATTACCTTTATGATTATGACCTTCCTTTTTTTAAAAAAGAATAAACTTCATAATTGCTGTTTTGAAATCACTGTTATTGCATAAAATTTTGCAATCCCGCAATTTATTATTACTATAATAATAATATTATTATTAATCAATCTGTGCCGGATGAGTTATTTAAACAAGAAAGCAACAAATTTTCTTTTGAGACAATGAGAGCAGAAGTTAAAGAATTGATTGAAATTCTTGGTGGATCTGTTGGATATACAAAAAGAGAAACACCTGATAATATTCGAGATAAGTTCAATTAAAGAAGAAAAAGAAATTGTAATATTTTTCTATTATAAAATGTATAGCAATATGATTTATTATAAGAGTTCTGCAAAAATAAATTACTGCTAAAAATTAGCAAATGTGGAAAACGAAATAATGCAAGTATTGTTGTTATGAACCTGACGACCCGACTGTTCATAGGTGGTGGTAATATTAGTATTAGCAGTTCGCGGCAACAAACATCCATTAGCATATCACACAAGCAAAATATTAAATGATGAAATTGCTAAATTGAATTTAAGTAATGATAGCTTATTAAGTTATGAAATATAATTTCAACAAGGTAAATTAAATAGTTAATTAACTGAAATTTATTAATTATTAATATGATTATTTATTAATTAATTATAATAAAGGATAAGTAGTTGAAAGAAGGGTTGGCAAGGTTAAAGTTTTAAAAGGTTGGAAATTACTGATGGATAATTAATTTCGCCATTTTTATTTATATTATTTATTAAAAGAATAAAGACAAATTATACAAAATGACCCATTATCACTTATTTGACTTTTAATAAATTCACAAATAATAAAACTTATAGCAGTTGATAAAAGTGAAGTAATGTGGAAGCATTTCTAAAGCAGCAGAATGGTCTTGCATAGGAAATTTTTATATAACTTGCAATGTTGTTTGTCATGGAGCTTGGTCTAAAAACCTCCTAAATTTAGGGCAAATTTTAAAAGTATAGAAGTCACTTTCTGTCCTACCTTTTAAAAAAATAGCTCTATTAATTGATAGAATATGACTTTAGTTTTAATGTAATAGAGAGATTTTCTCAAAAAAATTATTTGTTGTAGAGTTCTATTCTTTTTTAAAACATGTACTTTACTATGCTCGCGAGGAATTTGTCCACTATGATCATTTCTAAATTTAGGAAAAATATTACCAAATTTAGACTAGCCCTTGACTATTGTATCTAAATTTGGCATAAGAAAACTAAAATCATGTGAAGTCCTACTTTTTGAAAAATTTTATTACATTTTTGAACGAATTACAAAATTGCTATTTTGAAATTTGGCCGCATGGCGCAGCAATAGGAGGTCTTTAGACCGAGCCAACCATATAATTAAATTTTGGGGTGGGCGTTTGAATACAAAAATCTGATTGGTTAATTTGAAATTCACGCACAACACGTTGGGGTGTGAGATGCCCTAATTAACATAATGCCAATCAATAACAATAATAATAGCAGTAAAGTTAAATTTTTGTCAGAGTACAGGTAATAGCTTTGAGTCAGAGTATTTTCCTTCCATCCAAGTGCCCTGACAATTCTTTAACTTATATTTTTATAATTATTTATGTATTTTTTCTATTATTGAAAAAAAATTTGTGAAATAAATTACAAGTCATGTGCTCACTAATTTATCATTGGTCGAAATCATGCATAAATTATAAATTATAACAATTACGATCTAAATCAATAAAAAAATTTTTTTTACAAAATGGCAATTGACGAAGTTAGAGATAGATTGGTGAAGGCGGAGAAGGAGTTAAATCAGTGGAAGGAAAAATGGGGAGGAAGACTGGATGACCTGAAGAGGGGAAGAGAGAAGGAGGATTATGAAGGAGAGAAGGAAGAATTAAAGGAAGGGGAGAAGAGATTGGAGGAGATAAAGAAGAATTGGAAGGTATTATATCAAGAACTATTATATGGAGGAAAAGGTAATGAACAAACTGCATAAAAAAAAATTATTTTTTGTCCATTTCATTTTACTTATTTATTTGTATATTGTTTCAGCTTTAACTAACCTGCTTTTTTTTCAATACTTTATTCTAATTTCTTTTTTCTTACCATCTATCAATTTTTAAAATTATTCTCTCATCATCTAGTTAATGAGGGTAAGCATCTTTATTGTTTTTATATATTTTTTATACTGCTAAATTTGCTTATTAATTGATTTAAAATTTTTGGGATTCTTTTGAAATAACTATCATGAATTAAAAGCTGATGAAAATGCCCTACTTTTTTGGAAAACATTACTTGATTTGAACAGTTTGGTGCAAGACAACATTTTTTCACTTCCAAATGGCATTTCCTTTTTATTTTGGAAAAAACAATCCTACCCTATTAGAAAGTGTTACAATAAGATTTATGAAAAAATCCAAAATGAAATTCAAGATGGAAATAAAAACGAAAATGCTTCATTATTTTTCATAACTGGTAATCCAGGAATAGGAAAGTCATATTTTGGTCTTCACTTACTTTATCAATTTGCAAAATTAAAAAAAGAAATAATTTATCAACATTTCAACTATCCAGGAAGAGTTTTTTATTTTTCATCAAAAGAACATAAAGTTTTTGAGGGGAAAACACTGGATGAATTTAGTAGAGTATTAAATCTGGAATCAACATTACACATGGTTGATGATATGATACCTTCAAATTATCCTGCAGTAAAAATAGTCCTTACTTCACCTCAAAAAAAAAAGATTAAAGGTTGTAAAAAAACTGCAGAGGTGGGAATCCTATTACATGCCTACATGGACAATAGATGAAGTAGAAGATGCTTGTAATCTGTTATATACTTCTAGGTCTATAGATGATGCAAAAGAATTATATGAATTATGTGGAGGTATAGCTCATTATATTTTTGAATGGAAAAAAGAAGAAGCTTATCAAGAGATAGATTTGGCTATTAAAACCTGTGACCTTGGTAAGATAATAAAATCTGTTGGTGAGGTTGATGCTCCTCATGATACTTCTCATGTGATAGTACACATTGTAGTAGATCCTCAAACTTTTCAACGACACAAAGTTCAATTTGCCTCTTCTATCATCAGAGAAAAAATATATCAAAGATTTTTAAATGAACAACAATTTTCATTACGTAATTTTTTAAAAGCATGTGAAGATGAATCAATTACAGGTGGTATCTGTGGTAATTTGCTTGAAGATTTTGCACATAAAATGCTAAAAGCTGGTGGAAAGTATGAAATAAAATTATTAGAGTCAGAAGAAGAGTTAAGAGAAGGAGATACACAAAAGAAAAAACTTAAATCTAATAATGGAACATCAGCTTCTTTAATTAATGAATTAAATTTGACTGTTAAAGGAACTTTTAAGTTTTCAAAACTTGAAGAAATAACAGCAAAACATCAAGGTTTTTATTGTTATCCATCCATACACTCATTTGAATAAATTGATGCATTTATTCCAGGAACTAGATCTTCAAATCACTTACTTTTTCAAATGACAGTTTCAAATTCACATCCCATTAAACAAAATGGGTTAATGAAGTAATTAAACATCTCAATGAACTTCAGAATGAAGAAAATGAGACAGAACTATATTTTGTTGTTCCAGATGAAATTTATTTAACATTTAATAAGCAGAAGTTCCAAACAAAACCAGGAAAAAATGCAGAAAGAACACCACCAATTATACATTCTATCAAGCAATATTCTCTTAAAATTCCATTGGATGTAAATATGATGATTTCTTAAAATATTTTATTCTAGAGTTAGCACTAGATTTCTATTTTAATTCATTTTTTTTTTCTGTATGTGCTAAATTTCCATCATGTAATTTGTAAGTCTTAACAAACTAGAATAAAAAAAAAAATAATAGTAATAATATAAAAAGGCATGAGTGTTGGTGGTTCATTATTTTAAAATGCTATAATTTTGATAAAATTTAAAATTTTCAAAAACCTACAAAGCAAACATAACATTATAAAATTATATATATATAGGGATAAGTGTATATGAAAAGTAATAATAAGTACAATGGTTCTAATGAATATGAAAAAGCAATTGATTTTTTGAAAAAGGGTTGTGATTGTGGTTGTTCTTCAAGAATTCCCAAGGAACATTTTGCAGAATTAAGGGAATCCTTTCAGGCATATTTTTAATGGCTCAACTTAAAACCATGTATAGTGGATCAATAAGCACCAGTAGACACCTTAAAAAGAAAACACGATCTAATAAAAGAACCTTCTATCACTGGGATCACAATACACTGCTTTGTCAAGAAACTTATCTCAATATGTTAGGAATTGGCAGGTCTTATTTTGAAAATATCAGAAATCACTTGATAAACAATGGTCTTCTAGCAAGAGTTCATGGCAATATTAAAAGGATGCCTCAATGAAAAACCAAAATGGTAATTGATAAAAATATTGCTAAAGTAGTAAAGAATTTTCTAGAAAATTATGCAGAAGTCCATGGCTTACCAGGTCCAGGAAGAAGTAACAATAGAATAACTCAATCAGTTATATTTTTACCAGCTGAAATGAGTTATAAATCAGTACATAGATATTTTCTGGCTGGTCTAGAAGAAGATAATAATTTGAAATCCTTAAAATATGATGCCTTCAGAAAATTATGACATCAATTGACACCAGAGATTCAAATTATGAGTCCCAGGACTGATCTGTGTGATACTTGTCAACATTTTAGAGATGGTTTACATTATAGTACTTGCCAAGAGGAAGAAGCTAAAGATTTACTCAAAAGATTTAAAGAACATCTGTACAAGGCCAAAGTAGAAAGAAATTATTATAATAAAAATACAAAATTAGCAGAAGAACAAAGGAAATTAGTTAATCAAATTATTCAAAGGATAAAACACAGTATCATAGTATTGATGCTACTGCTCATTATAGTTATGATTGAGCCCAAAATGTTCATGTACCACATTTAGATCAACAAATAAGTAAAATTTAATACCTTAGTCCATGTAAAGTTCATTTATTTGGTATTCAAAATGAAGCAGTAAGGGAACAAATTAATTATGTTCTTAATGAAAATGAAATCATAGGAAAAGGTCCTAATGGTACACTTAGCATGATTTTTGATGAAATTAAGAAACTGAATAAAGGTGAAAAGTATTTAAAAATTACTTGTGACAATGCTGGGGGACAAAATAAAAATAATGTAACAATTTGGTTCTATTTATATTTGGTAATTTGTGGTTATTATGAAAGTATTGAATTAAATTTCATGATTGCTGGGCACACTAAATTCAAATGTGATGGTAGTTTTGGTTTAATAAAAAAACTCTACAGAAAAACAAGAGTAGATTGTCTGGATCATGTGGTTGATGTAGTAAAAAGATCTAGCCCAGCAGGATTAAATAAAGCTCAATGTTATGAAGGCGGAAAAGGATTTCAATATTTAGATATTAAAAGCTATTTTGGGAATTTATTTCAAGAAATCAACATTTTCTTTTTGAAGCATCTAATTTTGGTGTGGTCAAAGCTCAGGAAATTGCTAATGGTGTTGTGTCAAATGGCTGGTTCTGGGACAAAACTCGAATTTTCTGAGCCAAATTTTATATAGTTTATAGCTACAAGGTCTCCCAGAAGCTTATTTCATAGTTTTCAATATCTTTTTTTCTGTATATCCACATGGACCTGTATGCATTGATTTAATATTACTCAGCTTTCCATTAAAAAGGGCTATGCAAAGTGAATAGATATGAATGTAATGAATATCTATGAACTGAGCTAGTCTGGCATAGAAAGCCAAATAGCATAACAATTTACTATGTGAGATTTGGACTAAAAACATTTTGGATTTATAATACAAAAAATACAACACAAATACAAACCAATCGTACTTTGAACTATGACACTAATCAATTTTTGGACTATATTAAAAAAAAATTTTTATTCGATTTGGCCTTTTTAGAACCTAAAAACCAAACCCTGAAAAAAATACAATGTGGGTAACAAAAAAGTGCAGCAGAACATACATTTTTTCCCTACTACAAATTAACAGGCACATCAAAGTTTCATTTGATAAATGAATTCTTTTGTTGGTTTTATCAATAAAATCACAATTAAATAATATGTAATAATGATAATTTTTTACATTGCCCTATAAAAAATTTTGTCAGAAAATGTATGGTTTTTCGTGCACTTTGTATGAAATATTATTATTGCCGATTTCTCACATTTATGGATTGATCGTAGGTTATCACATGACCTGATAAATTACTGAAAATCGCGTGATCGAAAAATTATTGAATTTTTGATCGAGAAATTTTTTCTCAAATTTGTAGTAAGTTGCGGGATTAGGTGCCTTGCACTATAAATAAAAAATTTATGCATATTAATATGCAATAAATCAATAATTATTATTATTATTTGTCAACCACATCCAAATACAATACAATTTCTTTTATCATAAGCAAACATGTTTGTTTGATTTATTCTTGATTTTGATTTTCCTTGGCCGTAAAGTTGGTGTTTGTAAATTTTATAGTAATGCAAGAATTAACAATCAACAAAAAAAGTTCGATGTAAATATTTGCTAATTATTATAACCGTAAAAAAACTGACATTGAATCGTGTAACAAATATTTTGGCTCATATTTCGAAAGTACTTTTTTAAAAAAAAATGCGACCACCTCAATGGAAAATGGAGAGGGTCAAACCGCCTTTATATAATTCAAAAGAAAAAATGTCCTCGGTTACGCTGAATTCGCAAATATAGTAATAGAGAAAAGAAAAATGTCATTTGTTATACTATAATTAGCATTATTTAATTTATTTTGATATTGGGTCATACCAAAAAAAAAAAAAAAAAAAAGAATTCCTTTTTAGTAAACATAAAAAAGATTCAATTCTTAATGTATTAGTATTATTTTTTTTTTCCAAAATGGAAAATTTAAAAAAACTGACGTTCTTTTTTAACAAGTTCACGTTCATTCATTTGATATTTTTATTTTTGATTCCTATTGTTAGAGCTCCACCGCCTTCATTCTCTCCTTCAACTATTTCCTCTTATTCCGCTATTTCCTCTTCCACCACTATTTCCTCTTCCACTATTTCCTCTTCCACAACTTCTTTCGCTATTCCTTCTTCTCATGCTCTAATTTCCCCTTCACCTCTTTCATCACCTTTATTTTATGAAGATGCTAATTCATCTTCCACCACTTCTTTCACTGTTTCTTCTTCTCATGCTCCAATTTCCCCTTCACCACCTTTATTTCATGAAGATGTTGATTCATCTTCTGCCGCTAATATTTACGGAATCCACATTTTATATTTTATTGATATAATCTTATTTGGATTGGATATTCTCTTTGGCATTTATTTTTATTTCAACAAAGAGACAAAAGTTTCAGAGTTTGTTTTTATAATTTTCTTAAATGTTTTAAATATAATTCTCAGTACACTTGGAATGATCGTCGGATGCGATAAAACAGATAATGCAATCATACAAGGATTAATGACTATATTTTTTTGGGTTCCAGCAATATTATTATGTATCAAACTAGGATTTTGGAATTATAGACCAAGCGCGAGGATGGAAATTGAATATGAAAAGTACATAATAATTTCCACAGCTTTTATAAGTTTGTTAAATGCAATTCGCTTGTATAATAATTCAAAAGATTACAATTCTTTCAATATTGAAATTTTTAAAATAGTTATGATTTTGATCAGCAATTATGGCAAGTTTCTAAAACCAATATTATTAATTATTCCATTAACTGTTCAAGGTATTATCCTATATCCTAAATATGATCATATCACCATAATTCTTACTATTGTTTTATCTTTTGTAATAACTTTCATACATTTGTGTCGGGAAGCTTGGACGTGTCCAAAATTTCAACAATTTCTGGAATTCAATGAATTTTTAAGCCATTTTTTTATGGAGTTAAAGATAATTTTAATGACATTTTGTGTATTTGGCGCATATTTTATAGGAGCGATTATGATAATTGCTATATCAATGAGTTTAGTTTATTTTTTAAAGTTATATTTTACATTATTTGTTTATGTGATTATTGGTTGTGTTATTGGATTTATTATATGGCTCCTTACTATGATTGGTATTTGTTTATATATTATTTCATTAGGACAAGCGTCAATGCCAACACAAGTGTTTGTCATGTTAGCTGAATTTTATTTTTATTATTTTAATGAAGATATTGTTTTAGAAACTTTTTTAGAAGAATTAGTATCTTTAGGAAATTATTTAATAATTTTTTTTAGCATTTAAACTTGTAGCTATTACCATTACGATAAATTTAAATCATTAAAGATGCATACTAGAGAAATTTAGCAATAATAATATTTTAATTACTACCTGATGTGTGTGTTTTAGCATTAATCTTGATAATGAGGAAAATTTTGATGGTAATAATAATAAAGATGATAACAATGATGATGCCGCCGTTGTTGCTACTATAAATGGATCAAAGAAAAATAATAAAAGTAAAGATAGCAATAAAACATCTAATAATACAAAAAAATGAAAATAATTCTATTAAATTTCATTATAAAAAAATTTAGATTAAAATACATTTTATATTATTATTAAAATCTTATATTACTATTAACTATTACCAAAATCTGTTATCATTCATTACCATTACTAAGAATTACCAAAATACATTGTCCGTTCTATTTAGAGTTAATTTTTAATTAAATGTTTATTATTATTTGATTCACAACACGCACCACAATTTTTTGAATCAAAAATAAAAATATTTCAAAATTGTCAATATAATAAAGAGTATGTTGTCCATCAATACATTCAGCTTATTAAATTTCCACCTAAATATTTTTCCATATTCATTTTATTTTCCCTCTTATTTTAAATTTATTTCATTTCAAATGCTAACTGATACATTACTATCACCATTACTGTGTCGAACCCAACATGCATGGTAGAAGGTAATGCTGATATAATAGAAATAGGAATGAGGGCGGCATTTTATACACAAAGTATACTAGCATTTGTAAAAGTATTTCTGGAAAGGAATCAAGCTACAGACCCAATGTTGTTTGGATTGATAACATCCTTATCCTTAGTAATATCTGTCTTATATCAATATACAGTAAATGGCTTACACTATATATTTCTAATAGAAGCATCGCAACTTGTATCTCTATTACTTATCGCAACAGCCGCTGCGTTTTCTTTTGACATGTATGGGCCTAAATCTAAAAAGTTAGTGTATATAGTAGTGGTATACATATTAGTTAATGCAGTAATTGCATCCTTTAACATATGGTTATGGACAACTGCTAAGTGGAAGCTTCCAGGGGAAAGTTGCGGCGACCAAGTGAACGTTTTCATAATAAAATTTCCATTTAGCGCGACTGGTTGGATGCGAGACCTCTCGCTAGCAGTAAATTGTATCGTGCTAGCATTCTTATTGTTAATAATTCCTTGTATTTTATCCTCACCACCTCCTCAGAGTATTCAAGATATGGACCCAGCAATATTAACTGCAACTCGATGCTGTTATATGATATTATTTTTACCATCACTGGTGCTATGGATAACCTCGATTGAAATGTCAGTCAAAAGAAATCCGATATCAGGAATTTGGGACTGGAGCTATGGACAAGTAACAGCAGTCGTAATAGCTGCAGGTGATCTAGTAAATGTAATTATTTTGATTCTAGCTCCAGAAGAAAAAAAGGATTATAATTATAATGATGATTATAATAATGATTATAACCATTATAATATTGATAAATACGTTTGAGTATTAAGGCAGGACTTCTGTGAAAATCTCAACACTTATATCGGGTATAACTGGTGATATTGTTTTAATATAACATATGGATGGGTATTCCTTAAATTACTGCATCATCATCATATTATTATACAAAGTTTTATTCATGTTATTTTTTTTTTATGTTATTTGTATTTCTTATCCATAGCATAATATTATTATATATATTATTCAGGCACACAATATTTTATTAGCGGAGCTAGTAAGGCTAAAATACATATACAAATACACATACATTATTACCTTCTAACACTGGTACTACTAGTATCTTCTTGGAAAGATCTGATTTATCACTATCGAGTGCCAATTGTAATTGTAACTCTCCTACTGTTAGTTATTGTGGATGTCTCGGGTTTTCAATGACATTATTAATATTGACCCTATTGCTATTGGCCATTAAATACGAACTTTTTAAATTAGCCTATGAATTATATATACAGAGTCGTGAAAATGAGATATACAAGAAAAACAAACCGTCTCCTTGTAAAACAATTAGAGAAATTATGCGACTTACAACCCTATAAAATGTCCTGGCAATTACATTCCGTACATTTTCAGGACAAATATGTACGGAAAAGTGCTCTTTTCATGTATAATTCCGTGCATATTCCATATAAAATGCACGGAAAACCATACTAATACATTATCTGAAAAATTTTTATACCATTATTATGTGTTTTTTCCCACCAAATATTTTACAATGAATAATGCAACACAACCTTTCTTGTATAATTTATCCTCGATAATACGGATATAATAGGCTAAAATTTACGTACGTAGTCAATTTGAATTTCGTATCCAAACACATCACTCCATTAATAATAAAACACGATTTGATTTTGAATTAATAATAACAAATAGTTAATATCAATGTTTTTATTATTACAGTTATACATAATAGAAAAATAAGCGAATAAAATATAAACTAACTACATGATTATTTTTCGTATACTAAATATTGAATTATTTATAACAAAAATTTTATACATATTGTTGAAAAATCCAAAGCAATATTTTACTTGGTTTCAAATAAATATTCTCTCCCTACTATCATGTGCATGTGTAGCTATCAGTAGTACACTCTGTTCCAATTTCACAACACCCTCCAAGATCATCGTTACAGCAATAATAGTTAATATCCGTACAACATGTACCACCTGTACATTCAACTGGACAAGTTACATCCTGAATACTTAGAATAGCAGTTACACGAGCTGGTGCAGGTTTAGCAGCAAAAGATCCGAAGGATCCGAAGAAAGACACAAGAACAAGGATTAAGATGAAATTCTTCATTTGAAAGTGCGTCGGAATAAAGATATTTTTATGTTTATATTAATTCAATAACAGAAATATGATTTTAATAAATATATTAGAACAATAATGATTATAATATAAATTTTTTGGATTTTTTGATGAAAAGAATATGGGTTTAAACCGAGTCTTTTTATAATGATTTGAAATGGGAAGTTATCTCCTTTTTAAAACTATTATTAACAATGATTTTTTGCCATATTGTACGCAATCAATTAAAAAAGGTATTCGAGTTTCTATTCCGCGGCTGTGAATATTTTTTGGGTACACGAAATTACCAGTTGCACAAGATAGATAAAAGTATGTTATTCAATTATGTATATACAAATTAAACAAATTAAGTAATCCTTTTAATAGGAGTGTAACATAGTAATTTTATTAGCTCCTCAGAGATCAATTCAAAATAGCAATGAAACCATTTTTGTGCGGTAAAAGAAATTGTGGCACTATTGATTGCGGAAATAGCTGATGAATTAGTATTATTATTTTTTCTCAAAAAAAAAATTTTATTTTAGTCGAATTACCAAACCTGAACGTCATTCCTCCAACATCAATCAATCGATAGTGTAATTGTGGTATATTCAATATTAATATTCACGGAGCTGTTTTAATAATTAAGTATTGTTCTTCGTGAACGTTTATTTTGATATACACTATGTTGTGTTTCAAAAAAAAAAAATTTTCGCTTTGCATGATAATAAACGCTTATTGCATGTCGTTTGAAACAAATTACGCGGCGCAAAAACTTTCGTTACTGAAAAAAGAATTCGTATAATAGACTGGAAATTCAACAGCCCTAACATTGAAAATATATAAAAAATAACGTTAAAAAAGGGATGACAAGGAATGTTGACGAATTGAAGAAACTTATGGTTAAAGAATTCCTCAGGAAACAGACAAAAATATTTTTTTTGGAAAAAAACAACAATAGGATTTTTTGGTTTTCAAATGAATCCAGTTTTGTTTATCTACCTTGCATAATTGTTGAAGTCCTAAAGGTCCTTGTGTAACGATAAACTTTTTTGTCAATAATAAATAATACGTAGAAAATACATACAATAGAACATTTTGGTGGTCAGAAATTAAACAGTATGGTTTAATTGTCCGTTTGGTTATCACAGTGATATAGAACTCTGAGGTTTCGAGTATTTGCTTTGGTATAAAGTAAAGTTTTGGTTTTGGTTTTTGTTAAGCATAACATTTTTATGTAAACGGGTTTAATTGTTTAAATGTAAATGTAAGGTGTTAATAACAATTGGCAAAAGTATCTTATTGATTGGCCATCTATACAAAGAGATAACAGTTATCGCCATCACATATTGTATTATGTTAAAATAGTTGTTGTAAACGCACGTCTGACTTTAATTGACTAAAGAAAAGTAAAAATTAAAATAAATCTATAGGAGCCTTTGTCGCTTTTATTATAATTCTTTGTTATTTGTAACCTTTTAAGTATAAGAAAGAGGCAGTAGACAGGTTAAGTTCGTAAAATAAACTAATTGACAAGTGCAGCTAAAATGTTAACTCAAACTCGGCCATGCAATGTAAAATAATTGAGGTTGACCAAAAAGCTACCTCGCAATATTCCAAACATTTTATGTTTAAGGATTTTTTCAGGACTTTAGGTCCCAGAACTTAAGTCTGATCCGGTCCCATGATAGGACTACCAAGACCGGATGGTTAAGGACCGATTAATATCTCTAGTTTTGAAACAGTCAGGGATTTTACTAATTTGGATGTTGGACGACTAACATATTGGAAAAACAAATTATTTAATTAGTGGTACGTAAATGAATCAGAGTTTTTAACAATAAATGTGCACAAAAATTGCCAATTGTATTATTTTTGTGCCACAAGATGAATAAAATTAATCTCAAAAAATAATTTATCTAAAAATTAAGATAGTTTGTGTGATGAATAAAGAATTTATATGTAGTAAACACAGATTTGAGGGTCTCTCCGATTCATTCACGGTTCAGCAATTAAAAAACTTCTAATTATAACCATTGAAATAAATACTATTCGAGTCGCTCTTTCATAATCTGTTAATCTGTTCAAAGTATGATTTTACTAAAAATCAAGGAATTTTGCATGGCAGGGGTTTGGTTTTTTTCTCTGAACAAATATATTTCTATATTTCAGCTATGATCCAATGATCCAACGGGTATTGAAAGTTATATAACAGTCGCAGGACATTTCCCGCAGATCTATTAGGGTTTGTAAAATTTGGATGATCTGCATCATAGTAAAATTTTATAATCGAATG